GTTCCCACACTGTCCCCCGGGCTGAGGTGACTCCAAACTCAGCTCTGCCTGAAAGTGACCAGCTGAAGCTACTGAGGAAACTGCCCAACTGAGCAGGGGCAGCCCCCATTTCCTGCCCTCTCCCCATCGTCCTGCCATCCCCCTCCCTGTCCTCGGGGTCAGCCATGGAGAAGGCTGGAAGACACTCCGTCTCCCTGCCAGCAGAGTGACTCAGCAAGGCAGCGCCTCCAGATCTGGTCTCCAAAATCACATCCTTGTGAAGTCGGCCTTGCTCCACCCTCCCTGAGCTGCACAGCCCTCCCCCAGGCCCCTCAGGACCCCTCCCCAGCTCTCTGCTGGAGATAGGCAGAGTAAGGAGGATTGCTCTTCGTCTGGGGGAGTGGGGGGTGACTTCACTGTCCTTCCACTCCCTCCGACCCTCTTTCCTGTATCACTAACTCAGTCCCAGGAAACCCAGAGAGGTGCACACAGGGGTCAGGCTGGACAGGAAAAGGTAACAGACTCAATGCCTTGGGATTCTTATAAAAACTTACATCAGATCACATCCTCCTGAGCCTCCCATGGCTCCCACCTTCCTCCCACTGACAGCCAAGTCTGCAGTAGCCTCCAGGGCCTGATCTGGCCCCTGTTCTCGCCTGCCTGGTCTCCCTTCCTTCTCTCTGGCTCACTGTTCCAGCCACTCTGCGAAATCTGTCATTATTCTCTTACTCCAAGGCCTTTGCATCTACTGATCCCTCTGTTCCCCTGGATCCTCATCAGCCATCAGCCATCAGTCAAAATGTCACATCCTCAGACAGGCCTTCCATGATAGCCTAAGCAAAGCAGCCGCCCCCTCCTCACCCTGTGGAATGATTTGTCAACTTGCTTCTCACCCGTGACCCCACTAGAGTATAAGCTCCAGGAGGGCAAGGACCAGGTCTCTCTGCTCCCTGCTATCCCCCCAGCACGTGGCACAGGCCCTGAAACATAGCAGGTGCTCAATAAATATCTGTTGCATTAATGACTCCTTGAAGAGGACCTAAGGTAAAGGGTTGGGGGGGCCTTTCCCAGCCTGCAGGCTCCCTGGATGGTGGGGACTTCCAAACATTCAGCCACCCCATCTGTCCTGGGAGGCAGTGGACAAGAGGGGAAGGGTGTGGATTTGGCATGAAGCAGCCAAGAGTTCTCATCCTGGCTCTGCCACTCTCTTCCTGGCCATCCTCACCTCCCTGAATGTCGGAGTCTTCATCTATAGCACAGAGATAATCACGCCCACCTCATGCGGTCTGGGGAGGAGTTGTGAGCACAGTGCTGACCCAAGTGCTCAATCGCTTGGAGAGATTATCTGGCACAATTATATGGTATGACCTTCCACTTTTCCTGCCCCCACGGAGCATGCTCCAAGAGGCAGCACTCAATTTTATGAGCACAGTAACCACAAACCACTTTCCCATCTGTAAAATGGGCTTAATTGCTAATTGGCTGCTTCGGAGGGTGAACTTGATGGCACTTTGCAGCCTCATAAAGTTGCTGTGGGCACTGAATACGCTCTGCCCGTCAGTTTGAGTTTAGGATTCCTACTGAAGAAATGGCGAGAACTCCAGCCCCTGGCAGCTGGAGGGGACTCCAGGAGGTCATCTTGAGCAGTCCCCTGCCTCTGTTCCTCCACTCCAGATCTGCTGTGCCCTCTTCTCCCCTTACAGACATCAGAGTGGAAAGATACAAGCTCTCTGTGGCCTGTCTCCACGGGCTGTGCCCTCCCTGCCCTGGGAGGAAGGCCTCTTGCCTCTAACTCCATCATCGGTCCTCCCTCAATGCTCCCCATTCAAATCACAGCACCAGCAGATCCTCCGCTGACCAGGCCAGAAGCCCGGAGCCATCCACGGCTCATCTTTCTCCCACCACTATGCACCCCACAGTCTAATCCATCCATACGCCCCACTCACTGTGCCTCTTGACATTGACTCCGAATCCCCCCACTTTCTTCCCATCTCCCATAACTACCATGGCTCACCTGGATGGCTGCAGGAGACTCCCCACAGGTCTCCCTGCTACCACCCACCCCCCTCAATCCATTCTCCCCAGAGCAGCCAAAGAGATCCCTTGAAGAAATCAGATTTTGACAACCCTCTTTGTAATGGTGAATAGTGAGTGTCTACTTGATTGGACTGAAGGATGCAAAGTACTAATCTTGGATGTGTCTGTGAGGGTGCTGTCAAAGGAGATTCACATTTGCTGGCTGAGTTTGGTGGCTCAGGCCTGTAATCCCAGCACTTTGGGAGGCCAAGGTGGGCCGATCACTTGAGACTGAGGGTTCAAGACCAGCCTGGCCAACATGGCAAAACCCTGTTTCCACTAAAAATACAAAAAAAAAAAAAAAAAAAAAAAGAGCTGAGCATGGTAGTGTGTGCCTGTAATCCCAACAATTGGGGAGGCTGAGCATGAGAATCGCTTGAACTCGGGAGGCGGAGATTGCAGTGAGCTGAGATTGTACCACTGCACTCCAGCCTGGTATAGAGCGAGACTGTCCTCAAAAAAAACAAAACTGAGTCAGTGGACTGGGAGAGGCAGACCCACCCTCAATCTAGGTGGGCACAATTGAACCAGCTACCAGCGCAGCCAGAATAAAAGCAGGCAGGAGACTGGAGAGAGCTGACTGGCTTGGTCTGCCAGCCTACATCATCCAACTGTGCTGGAGGCTTCCTGTCCTCAAACATCAGACTCCAAGTTCTCCAGCTTCAGGGCTCTCGGGCCTTCAGCCACAGACTGAAGGCTGTGCTGTCGGCTTCCCAACTTGTGAGGTTCTGGGACTCACACTGACTTCCTTGGTCTTCGGCTTGCAGACGGCCTATTGTGGGACCTCACCTTGTGATCATGTGAGTCAATATTCCTTAATAAACTCCCCTTTATGCATATATCTATCCTACTAATCCTGTCCCTATAAAGAACTCTAACACAGATTTTGGTACCCTCTGCTCAAAACTGTGGGTAACCCTCCATATAGGCACCGAGGAATGAGAGCTAAGCAAAACCCTGGCATAGTTAGGGTTTGAGGAATATTTCACTTTATAGTGTTACTACTCAGCTATTTCCTGTTATATAATCCTTTACATAATCATATATTAGTTTATAGAAATAGGGCTTGTAGGCTCCCTTTATATAATCCTCTATATGTAATCATTAATAGTTGATAGTATGGGTGCCTGAAGAATATTTCCCTACATATATACCTAGAATTATATCTTAGTTCATAACCGGAGGAATGCCTAGAGCAGACACAGTGCAGAGCATGGTTTAAGGGAAGACAGTTACACCAGGACAAGAATCCATGGCCCAGGCGGCAGCGTTCAGTATCGTAAAGATACCCGCTGTATGGCAGGCTTGGGGCGAGAGCCACTCCTCCTGATAAAGGATTTGTAGGACCTTGCTCCAGTTCTTGCGGAAGGCTGCCCTCAGACCGACAACCCACCTTGGTGACTGTGAACTTTATCAGCTCTTGCTACTGTGCTGCTTGAAAAGCATCTTCCCATAGAAGCCATTGGAAGCTGCCAGAAGGTGGTGGTAACCCTGACAGCTCTGTCACTGCTGTGTGACTTAAGCATCCTCCTATAAATCTTCTTAGAAGTAGTTTCCCATAGATAGAAGTATCGCACACTGCACCCTCTTCATTTCACACGGCCCACCTTCAAGCCTTGGTGACCTAATGGGGGTGGACCCCTTACTGCACATGGCCCTTGCCTTCGTGGGAACCAGGCCCTTGCCTTCATGGGAACGGGTCCCTTGCTGCGCGCTGTCCACCTCCTGGCCTAGGTGACCTAATGGGGGTGGACCCTATGTTTTATTGTTCACGACCCTATCACTATCCTTAAAGATGATTTCACTCACTGACCTACCCCCTAACCTATACACAATAAATACTCATGCTTCTGGACATTTGGGGCTTCGCCGCCTCGCCAGCCTCACCAGCCAGCCTCACCTGACTCCGCTGATAGGTGGCATGGCCCCCTGGGCCCAGCTGCATTTTCTTTGTACTTCTGTGTCCTCTTTATTTCTCGGATCCTGTGCCTCAGCACAGCATAAGGCTCACCCCACGACCCTGTGGGGCACTTAGCCTTATAACCGGCACCCAACGTGCCCTACAAAAACCTTCCATTGGCTCCCCACTGATGCAAAAACAATTCTCACCTCCTAGCCACAGCCTGTAAGGCCTTTTAGAATCTGCCCACCATTACCTCTCCATCCTTCTCTCTTAACATTCTTCCCCTCACTTGCTCTGTTCCAGCCATTCTAGCCTCCCTGCTGTTCCAGGAACACACTAACCTTGTTCCTGCTCCAGAATCTTTGCCCTTGCTGTTCCCTTTGCCCAGAATGCTCTTCCCTGGGTGTCTATGCAGGTGGCTTCCTCTCTCCGTTCAGTGCCTCACCTCAAAGATCACCTCCTCACAGAAGCCATCTGTGACCACCCAGTCTGAAATAGTTGAAAATGCTCAGGCCCTCCCCCATACCACTTTAGCTGTTGTGTACAGGGCACTTAGCACATCACCGCCTGAAATGTATATACTTACTTCTCTTTTTTTTTTTTTTTTTTTGAGACAGAGTCTCGCTTTGCCACTCAGACTAGAGTGCAGTGGCGTAATCCTGGCTCACTGCAACCTCCACCTCCCAGGTTCAAGCGATTCTGCTGCCTCAGGGTCCTGAGGATTACAGGCACTCACCACCGTGCCCGGCTAATTTTTGTATTTTCAGTAGATACGGGGTTTTGCCACAATGGCCAGGCTGGTCTCCAACTCCTGGCCTCAAGTGATCCGCCTGCCTCAGTCTCCCAAAGTGTATATATTTACTTCTTGATTTGTCTATTCAGGAAACTGTCAGCTCCTTGAGAGTAGTGAGTTTTGTCTATATTGTTCCCTGGTATATCCCAGGGTTCAGTCAGTGCCTGGCACATAGTAGATGCTCAATAAATATTTATCGATTGGAGGAAACAGCCCGGCCCAACCCCAACTTCCTACCAGAATACTCACATCTACCACGGGGGTCTGGTTCACACCTGAAGCTGGAAATTGAGGGCTAATGTGAGTCCCTGTAGATGGGCCCCTGGCCCCAGGCACCGTCTCTACCATTAGCAGCACACAAAGCACACTCAGTGCCCGGCGCAGATCCAGCCATCTGCCGGCCATCCGGCCCCACGGGGCCTGGGCCTCACTCTTCACTTCCCTTTCTGCAGTGGCTCAGTTCCAAACAGCTGGCGGCTCCAGTGACCTGCAAGGTGGGAGTGAGAAGCGGGGGACAGCATCACTGAAAACCCATAGACCCAGCAAAAGGGACCTGAAGACTTTCTCAGCTAAGGAACTGACTTCCTGCCTCCCCACGGCAAAGGAAAGCTGATGGAGAAACCCACGTTCTGCATAGAGACCCCAGTCCCCGCCCATTCAGCGTACAGATAGATCAGATATGCCCTTCCTGAGGCCCCATGGAAACTTAGCGTGCCCTGCCTGGCCCCTGCCTGAGACCAGAATGTCAGGGCTGCAAGGGACTAGGAACTTGAGCCAGGATTCACAGTCTCAGGCTTCCGAGGCCAGCTGGGTGAGATACATGTGGGAAGCAGACAGTGAGCAGGAGTGCAGAAGCCCTCAAAACAAAACCAGGCTGGGCGCGGTGGCTCTTGCCTGTAATCCCTGCACTTTGGGAGGCCGAGGTGGATGGATCACCTGAGGTCAGGGGTTCAAGACCAGCCTGGCCATCATGGTGAAACCCTATCTTTAAAAAAAAAAAAAAATTAAAAAAAAAAAACCCCTCCTACTAGGGGTGGCCTTGGCCACCGGGCCACCAGTCTGAGACCTAGAGAGGCTTGCCTGCCACATTTTATGGGGCCCACTAAGCAATGCTGTTGTTCTGTGTCTTACAAGGAGCCAAGCTTAACATGGATGACTTCATTCTATCCCCACAACATGCCGAGAGGGGGCAGTGTCGCCATTCCACTTCACAGGCTTGTTTCCTCCCTGCACCACGCCTCCCTCATCCCGTCCTCAGAACAATTCTGGAAATGTCACCCCCAACCTGCACAGCAGGCAGAGGGGTTCAGAGGAGTTTTGTTTGGTTTTGTTTTCAGATGGAGCCTCACTCTGTCACCCATGCTGGAATGCAGTGGCAACATCTAGGCTCACTGCAACCTCTGCCTCCCTGGTTGAAGTGATTCTCCTGCCTCATCCTCCCAAGTAGCTGGGATTACAGACACGCACCACCATGCCTGGCCAATTTTTTTTGTATTTTTAGTAGAGACGGGGTTTCACCATGTTGGCCAGGCTGGTCTCGAACTCCTGGCCTCAAGCGTTCTGCCCAACTTGGCCTCCCAAAGTGCTGGGAATCACCGCGCCTGGCAGAGGAGGTCTGCAACCCGCCCAAGGTCACATAGCAAGAGGATCACAGAGCCAACAGCCCCTCCAATGGGGAACTTAAGGCCAAGAGGGAAGTGAGTTGCTCAGAGACACACAGGAGATTAGTAGTGGGGCTGGACTGGTCACGACCATGTACCTCTTCCCTCAAGACCAGGGCAGAAACAGCTTCAATTAATTTCAAAGTAATTAAACTGGAAAAACAAAAGTCCTCGGCAAACTAAAGTTTCTCTTTTGGCTTTTTCACGTGTTCTATGATGAATGTGTCTTATTTTTGCAATCAGGAAAACCAAAGCCCATAAAAACGTTTTTTTTCTTTAAGTATGCACAGGTGTTTCTCAACGTGCTGACAGCCTGAGGGGAGGGAGAGGCAGTATGGAGGGGAGGAGAGGTCAGAAAGGCCGCTGTCCCAGCCACGGTTCCTCACCTGTCCACGGAAGGCACGGCCCTTCCTCTTCCGTGTTTCTCCTGAATCACTCCAAGTGGAGTCCGAGTGACTCTATTTGGCACCAAGTTGAAACGGGACACTCCTGGCTTCCAATTCGTCTCGGCCACTTATTATCCGTGTGGCCTTGGGGAAGTCACTTCACCTCTCTGGGCCTCTTATTCTTCATCTGTGAAATGGACACAAATGCTGGCCGGCGGGGTATACAATAAGAGCTCAATAAATGCTCGCGTCCCTGGTGTCCCCAACACCTGAAGATCAGCATGCGACTTGTTTCTCCTGGCCGCCGATTTATCTTACTGATTCACAAGTGAGCATGTACTGAGCGCCTTCTGTACGCATGGACCGATGCCCAGCGCTCGGATGGTCACGGATCTGCTAAGGGACCGAGGCGGGAAATCGGGGCTGCGCATTCCAGGGAAGAGACCCCCGGGACATCTCCGTGCTCCGTTTCCCGATCCGGACGGAGGCTGAGAAGTCGAACTCGGGGCGCCCGGGTCCTCCGGCCGTGCGGGGGAAGGCGGCTCTTTCTTACCTCGGACCGCGCGTGGGACTCGCAAACTCCGAACCTCGACCTCGCCACGACTCACGGCCTTCCAGGTCCCTGATCCCCGGCCCGACCTTCCGCCCGCGAAGCCGCCAGTCCCAGTGCCCCGCCCGCTGCAGCGTCCGGGCTCCAACCCCTCCCGTCCGGCCCGCCCCAGTCCCGGCCACGCCCTCAGAACACGCCCCCTCGGGACACGCCCCAGAAAGAGTGCCTCGCCCCTGCCCTTAAAGGCACAGCTCCCAGAGAGCTTGCTAGGGGCTTCACTCTCTCGACCGTTCTCTCCTTCCTCTTTAAAATTGAGATACAAGCAGATGGGTAAGGACTGCTGGAAGCCAGAGAGGGACAGTTAGAGGGTGATACTGGGAGGTTCATTTCCCGAGGATGGAGGGACCAGAGGGTGTCAGGCTGCTCCTGGTAATGAATAGTGACAAAGAGGATTTGAGAGAATCCCAGGTGGACAAAGCCCCACCCTACTCACAAATGTTCTGGCTGTTTCACCTGAAATCCTTCTGAGATACTAATTGACTAATTGGGTTCAGCATTCCCCTCCTTTTTTTTTTTTTTTTTTTTGAGATGGAGTCTCGATCTGTCGCCAGGCGCCAGGCTGGAGTGCAATGGCGCGATCTCGGCTCACTGCAACCTCCGCCTCCCAGGTTCAAGCAATTCTCCTGCCTCAGCCTCCTGAATAGCTGGGACTACAGGCACCCGCCACCACGCCCAGCTAATTTTTATATTTTTAGTAGAGACGGGGTTTCACGATGTTGGCCAGGATGGTCTCGAGCTCTTGGCCTCGTGATCCGCCCACCTCGGCCTCCCAAAGTGCTGGGATTACAGGCATGAGCCACCGCGCCCGGCCTAAATTTTAATTTTTTAAGACAGGGTCTCGCCACATCTCCCAGGCTGGAGTGCAGTAGCAGCTGTCACAGCTCACTGCAACCTCGACCTCTCAGGTTTAAACAATCCTCCCACCTCAGCCTCCCAAGTAGCTAGGACTTCAGGCAAGTGCCACCACGCCCGGCTAATTTTGTTCATTTTTTGTAAAGACAGGTTCTCACTATGTTAGCCAGACTGGTTTCAAACTCCTGGGCTCATACAATCCTCCTGCCTCACATAGCTGGGACCATAGGTATGTGCCACCAAGACAGGCTGATTTTTAAAATTTTTTGTAGAGACTGGTCTCTATATGTTGCCCAGGTGGTCTCAAACTCCTGGTCTCAAGCGCTCCTGCCGCCTCTGTCTTTCAAAGTGTCAGAGGTGTGTAAACCAGAGCAACTCCACCGCAAATGGGGTTTGGTAAAATGAGGCTGAGACCTACCGGGCTGCATTCCCAGATGGTTAAGGCATTCCAGGTCACAGGCTGAGATAAAAGGTCAGCATAAGACACAGGTCATAAAGACCTTGCTGATAAAACAGGTTGCAGTAAAGAAGCCGGCCAAACCCAACCAAAACCAAGATGGTGACAAGGGTGACCTCTGGTCATCCCCACTGCAACATTCCCACCAGCACCATGACAGTTTGCAAATGTCAGGAAGTTACCCTATATGGTCTAAAAAGGGAAGGCATGAATAATCCATTCCTTGTTTAGTATATCATCAAGCAATAATCATAAAAATGGCCAACCAGCAGCCCTTGGGACTGCTTGGCCTATGGAGTAGTTATTCTTTATTCCTTTACATTCTTAGTAAACTTGCTTTCACTTTATGGAATCATCCTGAATTCGTTCTTGTGTGAGATCCAAGAACCCTCTCTTGGGGTCTGGATCGGGACCCATTTTCTGTAACAAAAATGCTTGAATTACAGGTGTGAGCCACCACATCCAGCCTTTTTTTTTTTTTTTTAATATTTAAAATTTGTATTTAATTTTTTCCCCATTTCTTTTTTTGTTTGTTTGTTTTTGCTAATTTTGGAATTGTTCCAATTTTAGTATGTGTGCTGCCGAAGGGGGTACATAGCATCACTTTAAAACGAATGTGGCAAACAAATCAAGACTGAGCAGTTCGTGATCTACTGACAGATGTATTAATAGCTCCCTGTATTTCCAGTTTCCCAGCCTTCTGGGGAAGCTCTGTTCATCCTGCCTTTTCTTCTGTTGGGGGCATGGGGGAGCGGGAGGAGGTGGGCATGGGGGCTGGGCCTGGGGTCCTTGAGGCGGCAGTGTGTCCTCCCAGGCCACGCCTACCTGCAGCACTTCCACCATTAGCACACATCTAATCCACCCATCTCTTGCCCTCAGGGTAGAACCTGCTTCCTCATCACCGGCAGGACCCAGGCCCAACGGCAAGCATTCAAGTCCCTTCAGCATCCAGCCCTAGCACACCTTTCTGAAGTCGTCTTTCACCCCCACCTCCACCTCCCACCCAGAAGTGCTCCCTGTTCCCTGAACCTGTCGGCCTCTTGCTCACATCCACCTGCCTCTGCTCTTCTGAGCCCCCTGCCCTGATGACACCCCATCTCTTTTCCACCTGACAGACTCTTACGTTGTCAGGCTCAGCCCCGAGGTCACCGCCAGTAGGTGTTCTTCCACCCTTCTCCCCACCCCTCCACAGGGCCATGGGGCTCCCCACCTTCAGAGCATGCCTCTCATTCCCACCTCTGGGCAGGTGACATTGTGATCCCTAGCATGATGTGTGTGGGATCGCAGTACACCAGGTTTCTGTACAACCTTCTATAAACACTGAGAGCCTCTCTTTGAGCTTCAGTGTCCCTCTTGGAGAAATGGGGGTGATACTAGTACCAACTTCCAAGGTCCTTCCAGATGGTTTTTCTTATCTTTTTTGAGACAAATTTTCCCTCTGTCACCCAAGCTGGAGTGCAGTGGCATGATCTTGACTCACTGCCTCCTTGACCTTCCGGCCTCAAGTGATCCTTCCACCTCAGCTTCCCAAGTACCTGGGTTTACGGTCATGCTGTACCTACAAAATGAACACCTCGTTTTTTCATTTTTTTTTGTAGAGATGGGATCTCGCTATGTTGCCCAGGCTGGTCCTGAACTTCTGGGCTCGTGCAATCACCTCACCTGCCTCGGCCTCCCAAAGTGCTGGGATTACAGGTGTGAGCCACCGTGCCTGGCTAAAACAGGACACTGTGAAAAGCCCTAAACCCCATGCTGCATGCTGACTAAACACTCCCTCAGTGGAAGGGTTTGCTGTCCCTATTAATTATTCCCATTGTTGGCTGGATGTGGCGGTCACGACTATAATCTCAGCACTTTGGGAGGCCGAGGTGGGCAGATTGCCCGAGGTCAGGAGTTCGAGACCAGCCTGGCCAACGTGGTGAAAACCCGTCTCTACTAAAAAATACAAAAATTAGCCAGGCATGGTGGCACAAGCCTGCAGTCTCAGCTATTTGGAAAGCTGAGGCATGAGAATCTCTTGAACCTGGGATGTGGAGGCTGCAGTGAGCCGAGATTGTGCCACTGCACTCCAGCCTGCGCGACAGTGAGACTTCATCTCAGAGAAAAACAAAAAAATAAAAAAGATTCCATTGTTACCACAATGCATTAACTTATCTTTCTGGTCCCCCACAGGCTGGGAGCACCTCGAAGCAACACCAGGCCAGGTTCAGCCATGTCCTGGCCACTAGCACAGGGGTGTTCACAGCTGGTGTCTCCAAGCCTGCTCTGGGGTCGGCTTTTCCCCAGGTCATCTGCTGCTTGGGAAGTTACCCCAGAATTGCTGAGTTTGAAACAAAAGTCCTTCCCTAAAAAGCCTGCCCCTGGTAGTTAGGGCGAGGCTTAGATATCACCATTCTAGGTCAGCAGAGCAGGTGGCTTTACTACCTCTGTGTCTCCCAGGACTGGGATAGCAGGAGGGAAGGGTGTTGGCGGAGAGTGTGAGTGTCTGTGGAGAGACCTCTGGCAAGAGCCAGGTGGGGAGAGGAACGCTTGGGGACAGAGAAGGGAGATGGGTGGGGCTGGGATAGCCCCTGGTTCACCCCTGCTCTGGTGGACAGTGGTTAGGGGTAGGGCCTATTCCCCAGGCTGAGAAAGGCCATTCTGACATTGTAAGAACAGCCTCGGAAGTCATCCAGATCCAAGTTCAAATCCCAGTTCTGCCCTTTACTGGTTATTTGATCTTGGACGAGTTATTTCATCTTTTTGAGTCTCAATTCCTCACCTAGAAAATGGGGAATAAAACACCATCTATGGAGCACTCATAGGGCTGTAGTGAGGATTAAGATCTTACACGTAGGCATGCATAGTGGTTCACAACTGTAACTCCAGCACTTTGGGAGGCTGAAGTGGGAGGATCACTTGAGGCCAGCAGTTTGAGACCAGCCTGGGCAACATAGCAAGACCCTGTCTCAACTATTATAATTTTACAGAACAAGAAGATTATATAATAAAACCCATGGCATAGTGCCTGGCATTTGTTAAAGTTGAATAAATGGAAGCTGCTATTATTATTATTTATTATTATTACTGAGGGTAAAAGGACCTGACACAGTGTCTGGCAGGGGGTAGGTTAAATGTCAGTTTACCGCTTAAGCACAGAAGGTTGAGGCTGCAATGAACTCTGATTGTGCCAATGAACTCCAGCCTAGGTGATAGCACAAGACTCCTTCTCAAAAAAAAAAAAAAAAAAAAAAAAAAAAAAAAAAAAAAGTTGAGCCAGGTGCAGTGGCTCATGCTGGTAATCCCAGCACTTTGGGAGGCTGAGGTGGGTGGATCATGAGGTCAAGAGATCGAGACCATCCTGGTCAACATGGTGAAAGCCCGTCTCTACTAAAAATACAAAAAATTAGCTGGGCGTGGTGGCGCATGCCTGTAATCCCAGCTACTCAGGAGGCTGAGGCAGGAGAATTGCCTGAACCCAGGAGGCGGAGGTTGCCATGAGCCAAGATCGCACAATTGCAGGCCAGCCTGGGTAACAAGAGCGAAACTCCGTCTCAAAAAAAAAAAAAAAAAAAAAGAAAACATAACAAAACATGCCAAAATGTAGAGGCCAAAGACAATAGCATTTCATTATCTGTCACGGTTTCCATGTATCAAAAATTTGGGAAGTCAGGAGGCCAGGGTGGGAAGATCACTTGACCTTAAAACAACATAGGGTTGTTACAGGCTCACGCCTGTAATCCCAGCACTTTGGGAGGCCAAGGAGGGTGAATCACCTGAGGTCAGGAGTTCGAGACCAGCCTGGCCAACTTGGTG